TGGTGCGCGGCTCGTTGAGCACTGGCTCGTCATCCACGACCAGGCCGTGCGGGACCTGCCCGCCATCCAACGCGCCGCCGTCGTCCAGTTTGAGGCGTTCCTCGGCAGCTCCGATGCGGAGGCAAGAGGACATGTGGCGGCGCTGGAGCGCACGCTGGGGCTGCAACACGGCATTAAGGTGCAGTTTGACGTGCGCTATTCAACCAACACCAACACCAACACCAACGGCGGTGGCGGTAGTGGCAGGTGGCGGCAGAGTTTGTCGCGGTTTGGGCGGCGGTTGACGGAGTACCACGGCAACAAGCACCACGTGCGGGTGATGGTGGGGACGGCTATGGCGTGGGTGCGGGACTGGCAGCGGCTGATGGACATGAAATCGCCCGCGTGCCAACGGTTACTTGAGACGTACGAGGAGCGGGTCAACGCATATGGGTACAGCTTGGCTGATCCAACCAGGGTCGCAACACCGCACGCCATGCGCAAGTATCTTCTGTCCCTGGAAGCGGCCCATCTTACATGAACGCGTTGTGTGTGTGTGTGTGTGTGTGTGTGTGTGTGTGTGTGTGTGTGTGTGTGTGTGTGTGTGTGTGTGTGTGTGTGTTTTCTTGTGCCTGTGTACATACGCTTGCTCTTGTGCAATGTCATGTGTGTGCGTGTGCTCGGTTGTGGGTACGGAAGCACCTGCCGCTGACGACCAATATGAGGCTTTATTGAGTCTCTTATCCGACCACTTGGCATCTGCTAATGTAAATTAAACGAGCCCCCAGTGAAACAGCACCAAGCGCTGTCGAACTAAACACACACACACCCCCGCACGCACACACACACACGCACACACGCACGCACACAATCTCTCTCTCTCTCTCTGTCTAGCCCGCAACCTCTCCGTGCTAGCTCACCAAACTGTAAATCAGAAAAGAAAAGAGTGCTCCCGCATAGCCTGCCGCCTGCATGCACGACACGTGTTCACCCAAGAGCATCGAGCACAGCAGAACAAATGCGCCTCCCCGAATGGCCACCAGAATCTGCACAAACACACACCCGCACGCATATGTGTGTGTGTGTGTGTGAGCAGAGGCGATTATGACATGCCGTTTGGTGTTGTGGTGCGCAGCAGTGATCACGACAGGAGGCCACGACAAGAGACCAGCACCACATACAAGTGCGTACCTTGAGGTTAAGCGTGCTTGTTGTTTTGATGACGAGAAACGCGGCATAGTTGACGGCGGTACCTAGCACGACGGCGACAACAAAGGGGGTGGGGTTGTTCAGGACCAACTGCCCGACTGGTGTGTAGTCATGACACCAGGGAGTGGAGTAGGTTAGGAAGGCGACAAATGCACTTGATGGGGCAACGTGCAACAGTGACGTACAACATACATGTGTGTGTGTGTTTTTTTTGTGTGTGTGAACAGAAACACGACCATGAATACGTGTATGTGTGCACCAGCGCTCTCCCCATGGCTACAGACCTTCGTGTGTAAGCATGGGCCTTGCTTCAACAGCTAGGATGGTGACGAGAGACCACAGTGATCTGTTGCGTCGATTCATGCGAGGACCGTGTTCGTGCAGACAAACAGAGCAGAACGCACACGCATGTGGTGAGAACGGGGAGAGGGGGGGGGGTTGGCCACGGGGACGAACGTTGAGGTCGAGTACGGAGGGCGTTCATATTCCACCCATCAAGACACCATGACAGCGTTCTGGGTTGGTGCGCACATGTTTACACATGCGTTAACACTCACATGCACGCGCACACACGCACACACACAAGCACACACGCACACACACACACACACATTCGGAAGCTTACGTTGCAGGGCCGATGTAGTAGAGGCTCTCGATGACGTTGAATCGGGCGACGCCGCTGAAGAGCTGCTGCGTGACCATCATCTTGATGGATTCCGTCAGCACAGACAGCATCATGATGGCGAACCCAACAGCAGAGAAGTCCGCCTCCCCAAACACTGATGGCACATGTACAGGTCATGAGCGGCGAGGGAACAGACACGTGCATTCACACAGAGCTACATGGTACGTGCGAGAGAGAGAGAGAGCGTGTGTGTGTTTGTGTGCGTGTGCTTTGTGTGTTTGTGTTTGTGTTTGTGTGTGTGTGTGTGTGTGTGTGTGTGTGTGTGTGTGTGTGTGTGTGTGTGTGTGTGTGTGTGACTGGTGGATTGACAGACCGGCAACGGTGGAGAATCCGGTGATGCCAAGAACAGCGGCGATGCGTGGCGGTGTGGGTGAGACGAGCCCAGCGAGCCACAGGAACAGCAGCGTCAGTGCAGGCGCAAACGACTGTGGCAAAAGGAGGAGATGTAAGCGGAATTGAGGATGAGCAAGATTGATCGCAATCCTTGTGCCTCTCAATATGTGAACATCCACAGCACATACGCATACACACACCGCATGCACATATACACACACAACGCGCGCGCACATGCCTTGAGGACTTGTATGAATGACATGGAAAGATAGAGCAGTGCTGCATTCCCAAAGCTGAAGAAGACGACATAAAGAGCGTGGCAGATGATGAGTACGGGTCCATGTTCTGCATGATTCGAGTCGGCACGCCTGCATCATACCCACACGAACAAATACAGGCTCAGGCACAAGTACAGGCACGCGCACGCGACGTACCATATTGAGAGGGCACCAAAGAGGCCAACGGGCATGACGCGCCACAGGTAAAACTCGGATGTGACCGTTTGCGCGTGAGGCAGCTCCATCTGACGAGCAACAGTGGTGATGGTGGTTGTGTGTGATGCTCTATGAGTGAACTGCGATTCAATCCACAGAGTCACATGTCTCATACTGCAGCGATGCGAAACATGTGCAGCGTCCGAACATCAAGTACCTTGCGCACGTGTACAATCATGTGCGTCAGCAACGTTGCTGCAAGCGTCCCGGCAGTGCCAACCGTAACAGGAAACCGAAAGTTGAGGTCCTACAAGACGCGCCATCCGTCAGCGTGAGAGTGAAAGGTGAGATCGGATCAAACCCCTCTTTCAACAAGGCGCGCGCGCGTGACTGTGTGTGTGTGTGTGTGTGTGTGTGTGTGTGTGTGTGTGTGTGTGTGTGTGTGTGTGTGTGTGTGTGTGTGTGTGTGTGTGTGTGTGTGTGTCATAGGACAGATGGTACCGCGCGGGGGCACGTGTTGCTTCCATGATTGTTAAAACGAAATAAACACAGCGGTACACAGCAGTACCAAGAGGTAACACATCACAGCTTACCCGAACAAGGTACTTGTTGATGACGGTGACTGCCGGTCCCAGGATCATGAACAGCGTACAGGCAAAGACGGCTGGCCAACTGCGTGCATACGCATGTGACCGGGGTGGCGGTGGTGGTTTGAATGTGTGAGAAGAAGCATGTATGCACACGCACACACACTCACACACACACACACACACACACACACACACACACACACACACACACACACACACACAGATGCAGAAGTGTCAAGCACCCTGCATGCGCAGATTGGGTCGTACATGGTCTGCTTCTCTTGTTTGGTCGTGGGGATGTTGTTTTGCACGTCCGCGTCATGGGAGGAACTTGGGTTGTTGTTCTTGAGATCGGTGTCGTGAAGCAACAGGATCTCTTCCTCTTTGCGCTTCATCCCACGCCCTTGCTCTGACTGCGACCTTCTGCGATCATCATCGCCATCGTCACCGTCGTGCATGTTGGTAGCTCAACACGTTCCCACCCACCAACAACCAACAACCGTCCTGTCTTGCGGAAAATTGACGCAAATCTTCGTCGATCTTCTACAATGGTGGTGCGTGTGTGTGTGTGTGTGCGTGCGTGTGTGTGTGTGTATGCGTGCATGTGTGTGTGTGTGTGTGTGTGTGTGTGTGTGTGTGTGCGTGCGTGTGTGTGTGTGTGTGTCTGTTTGGTGTGTGTGTGTGTCTGTTTGGTGTGTGTGTGTGTGTGTGTGTGTGTGTGGGTGATTGGATGGGGCTGGCGTGTGGTTGACGATGCTTCGCTGTCAAGCTCATCCCCTCCATTCTCTACCATCTTGCGTCTGTGCACACACAATTCACAGCGTTGAGGAGGCGCATGAAGCGATGGAACCAACGAGGATGACGATGACGAGTGATGGAGGTGAGAGGCCGACTGAGATGTGTGTGTGTGCGTGCATGTTGGTTGACATGTTGTGTTTCCTTCTTCGCCTCCCTCTTTCCTTGTCTGTTATGTCCACTCATGTGCCTTTTTCTTCTTCCCCCTTTTTCGATTGATTTTGACGCAGGGCCATGCATCCCGCTTCCATCCATTCAACCGACCAACCAAACAGCCGAGCGAGCGAGCAAAGGACACGGCATGGCATGGGGCCGTTTGTTTTCACCGTTTCCACCACCAGCAACAACAGCAACAACAGCAGCAAGAGCCGATGTGTGGCTGCATTTTGGATGAACTGGCCCTCTGTCTCTCGTCCATCTCCTCCTCATCCTGTCGTCGTCATTGGTCATCAACAGCAGCGGCTGCTGCCGTGGATGTGGAGGTGAGATGAATGGCGGTGGTTGTGGTGATGACGTGGGTGGTGTGTGATGTGTTGGGTGTGAACATCAGCATGTATATGTGTGTGATTGTGCGGTGCTGGTTGGATGTCCTTGGGTCTGTTGGTGGTGGCAATGGATGTTGTTGTCGTTGATATCCTGATTCTGTGACAACTCACCTCTTTCTCCACACGCATATACATACAGGGTGTGATGTGCGTCGGTGTGCTGTTGCCTCGCGTGACGACGATGGTGGTGGTGGTGAGTGATTTGTGGTGGATGTGGACGGCGCACGCACACGCATGTGTAGATGTGCTGCTTGTGGTGGTGGTCGTGGTGGTGTGTGTCTGTGTTTGGAATGTGCGTGCACAGGTGGTGATGTGGGTGTTGTGGGTGACAAAGGAGGTGGATGTGGTTTGTTTCTGCCATGCTGGCTCACTGCGTCGCGTCATTCTTGCTTACTTGATTGTTTGTGCTTGCGCACGTGTACATGTGTGTGATTTGCACAGGGCGGTGGCCGATCTCTTCCCAAGCCCTCATGACACGAGCAGGGCGACGCACGCACACACAAGTGTGCCAGAGAAGAAGGCGCAAGGTGAGACGCTGCCGCTGTGTGTGTGTGTGTGTGTGTGTGTGTGTGTGTGTGTGTGTGTGTGTGTGCGGTGAAGGGTGGA